CTATGGAGAGGTGAGAATGCTACTGAACGGCTTTCTTTCTGGGCAGAATCCACACGTTTTTATATTTTTGTGTTTTCTTTGACATGAATGAAAATGAGAAATGGAGGCAATACTCTATACATTCCTGGCAGGTATATGATGTCTCACCTTCATGAGATCATTCCCAGAGAGCTCTTGATTCATCTTGAAGGTTTTCTGACAAATCTGCACTGAGAGGGTTTGTAGCACATGAATTTTCGAATGTCTATTAAGACTTGGCCTCTGGGGACAAGAGTTTGCACATTTACTGTACGAAAATCAAGTCTTCCTCTTTCCGCCATCTTTCCATGCAGCCACAATAATGGTGTGCTTGAACTTCCCGGATGACCCTCTCAAGAGCATCAACAATGCTGGGAAGAGAGGCAAATGCCAGCTTCTTATCAGGCCGAGCTCCAAAGTCATAGTTAGCTTCCTGACCGTGATGAGGAAGCATGGCTATGTTGGCGGATTTGAAATCACTGATGATCACAGAACAGGGAAAATTGCTGTCAGCCTCACAGGCATGTGAAACAAGTGTGGCGCCATCACCCCAGATTTGATGTGCAGCTCAACGAGCTAGGAAAGTGGCAGGATAATCTGCTCGTGTCATGTCAGTTCGGTTTCATTGTACAGACAACCTCAGCTGGCATCACAGACCATGGGGAACCAAGATGAAAACACACAGGAAGAAAAGTCCTGGGATTCTTTTTCAACGGATGTAATAAACTGCAAATGAAAAGAAGGAATAGAGGCGAGCTCTGGTGGCCCAGTGGCAAGAAGCTGCACTGCAATCCCAGAGGTACGTGGTTTGAATCCACCAGATGCTCTGCTTAAGAGAGGCAATCTCTTCCTGTACCAGTGAGATCCAATTTGATGGTACATATGCAAAATGGAAAAAAAATTATAAAAGAGGGAGGGAGGGAGGAAGGAAGGAAAGAAATCAAGTCTTCCCTCTCTGAAACCTTTGATATACTATAAAGAAAGACTGTTTGAAGACTGTACCAAATACATGTCAATATTGGCTTTCTCTCCAGTATGAATTTGCTGGTGGCTAGCTTTTCCTTTTGACTGAAATCTTTTCCACACTCCGTACACACACAGGGTGTCTCTCCAATATGTGCTCTCTGGTGTATACGGCACCCTGCCTTCTGGATTAACACTTTACCACAATCACATTTAGAGGATTTCTTCCCATTATGAGTTCACCTATCTCCATACCGTTTCAACCTATATGCAGAACAGATTATCCGGGAGGCTGGGCTCTATGAGGAGAAATGTGGGGTCAAGATTGGTGGACGATTTATCAACAACCTGCGTTATGCAGATGACACAACCCTGCTTGCTGAAACTGACTGAGGAGGACCTGAAGCGCCTGCTGCAGAGTGTCAAGGACTGCAGCCTACAATATGGATTGAGGCTCAATGTCAAGAAGACAAAGATTCTCACCACTGGACCAATTGGCAGCATCAGAATGGATGGTGAAGAGATTGAGATTGTACACAGATTTAGTTTGCTTGGCTCCATAGTCAACAGTCTTGGCACCAGCAGCCAGGAAATTAAAAGGCACATTGCCATGGGAAAGTCTGCTGTTAGGGACCTCTCCAAAGTACTGAAGAGCAATGGTGTCTCTCTGGAGATTAAGGTGCGTCTGATACAGGCTATGGTCTTCGCAATCACTTGTTATGCATCAGAGAGTTGCACAATGACCAAGGAGGATAGAAGGAGAATTGATGCCTTTGAGCTGTGGTACTGGAGAAGAGTATTGAGAATACCATGGACTGCTAGGAAAACAAACAGATTTGTCCTGGAAAGGGTTAAACCGGGTGGCTCCTTGGAGGCAAGGATTCTGAGGCTCCGTCTGACATACTTTGGACATGTTGTGAGGAGAGACCAGTCCTTGGAGAGGGACATCATGTTTGGGGGGTTGGGGGGCCAGCGCAGGAGAGGAAGGCCCTCTATGAGGTGGATTGATTCAGTGACTGGGATAATTGGGATGGGAGTGTCAGAGACAGTGCGATTGGCACAGGACAGAGCAGAGTTTAGGGCTGTTGTACACAGGGTCGCTATAAGTCGCAAGCGACTCGACGGCACATAAGAACAACATAAACATGAGTTCACAGTTAAAAAGTGAGCTCACTTTTTCCTGATGAAGCATTTTCCACATTTTCTTCATATATGGAGTTTCTGTCCAGTAGTGTTCACTGGTGGATAGTGAGAGTCCCCTTCTGCATGGATCCTTTACCATATTCACATTTGTAAGGCTTCTCTCCAGTACTGCACGCTCAGGGAAGATAAGGTCATGCTTCCTGCTGAAGCCCTTTCCACATTCCTTATAGATACAAGCTTTCTTCCCAATATGGCTGCGCTGGTGTATAGTGAGGTGTGACTTCCAGATGAAATCTTGACCAGGGTCAACTCATATACATGGCTTCTCTCCACTAGTTCACTGATGTTCAGGGACATATTCCTTCTGACTGAAACCATTTCCACACTCAATTGAACACATATATCTCTAGTATGTGTTCGCTTATAAATAATATGGTGTCCCTTCTGAATGAAACATTTTCCCCACAGTGCACACACAGGGTTTCTTCCCAGTGTGTGTTCCCTGTTGGAAAATGACTCCTGCTTCACAGATTCATTCACATTTATAGGATTTCTCGCCTACGGCAGTTTGCTGATGCAATGAGGGTCATTCTTTCTCATCAAGTCTTTTCCACATTCCCTGCATGTATAGGGTTTCTTCCCAGTATGACTTTGCTGGTGTCTACTAACTTTTGACTTCTCGATAAAGCGTTTACCACATTCACAGCATTTATACAGTTTCTCTCCAGGAAGAATTAGCCAGTAAACAAGTATCAGGATTTTGAAGCTCCGTCTCACATACTTTGGGCATGCTCCCAGAAGGGATCCGACTTTGGAGAAGGACATGAGGCTTGAAAGGGTGGAAGGTCAGTACAAGAGATGAATACCCTGGATGAGACGGAATGACACAGGAAATGGAGTAGGTGTGTTAGAGACAGTGATTTTGGCTCAGGATAGGGCAAGGTCAGAGACATTATTCATTAAGTCACTGAGTCACACATGACAACAGGCCATCATAGTTCCTGTATTTGTTTGCATATGCAGCCATTACTCTTAGCAAAAACCAAGGAATTGTCATTTTTACTCTTATTACCTTGTTTCACTGCATTTATCAAATGACCCAGCCTCTCAGGAGTTGAGCCCACTAACTTCACTTCCCATAAGTAACTTTTGCCTTTGGTTAAGTGACTGCAACCTTAAGACCTGCATTAATTCATGGACTTTGCTCAACCCAACCAGAGACCAAAGGTTTTTATTCTTTTGTGTACTCTATTTATTCTCCAAAGACACATTACAGAGTCTAGACCTTTGCATGAAACTCTACTCTTCCAACACCAATTGTTTTGTTATGTGCCACTGAGTCAGATTCGCCTGGCAAAGAGGACACTGCCCATCCTTCTCAAGCAGAGCAGTTGGTGGATTCGAACTGCAAGTGTTCAGTATGGCAGTGCAGCTTCTCGCCATTTGGCCATCAGGGCTGCCCCACCAATTGTTCTGATAATTTATTCCACTATGATTAGTAGCAGACCGGTTATAATAACTTCCCAAGAGCCTGGGAGGAGCCAGCCAAACCACGAACAACACGGCTGCTTCTTTCCCAGCTGCCTTTGGGCTTAAGGCCGCCTCCTGGTTCAAACCCTAGGCCCAGGCTGGCTAGTCTCACTCCAGGGACAGAGCAAACCTGCACGTCAAACACAGTCCCGGAAAAGCAGTCGACTCCAAAAGCCTGCCACGATTCCTGTGCTCCCGTCACCATGCTCCTGCCGTCTGGCAAGGAGAACTTCCCAAGAGCCTGGAAAATCTTGGAAAATTCTTGGAAAATCTCCAAGAGACTCAGACTCATCAGGGAAATGACTCACATGACTATAGGTATGGAAGCTGCTCATGCAGACTGGAGAGCTATGTGCTAGGACCCTGAATGCTGTCAGTCATGGTGAAGCTAGATGTTGTGACCCAAGAAAATTAGAATCCTAAAAAGGGGTGAGTACTGAGGGCCTCTGAGCTTATATAAGCCTCAAGCAGGGTGAACCAGGCACTCACTCCATCCTCTCTCTCTCCGTGATACAATACATACATCAGATGGAATAAGAGTTAATCCTTGTCTATGAAAGATACTCGGAAAGATGAACCCAGTGTAAGAGTGTCACAGCACATACCGGCAGCCCCATCTGCATAGCTACAGAACAGAAAGCTTTTTAGTGAATGCAAAATACCCCAAACTCATCGCTTTTGGTGCGTTTAGACTCTGAGAGAAGAACAGGACAAGGACAGAAATGTTTCAAAAGCTGTCATCTTTATTGAGGGCAACTGCCACCTCTTTCTCAGGAGAAAGAATGGGTGGCATAAAAGTCCTTAGTGTTTCAGGGAGCTCTGGTGGCCTAGTGGCAAGAAGCTGCACTGCAATCCCAGAGGTACAAGGTTCAAATCCACCAGATGCTCTGCTGGAGAAGGAGGGGCAATCTCCTCCCGGACCAGTCAGATCTGATTTGACTGTACACGCACACAAAACATTAGTAATAATTAAAAAAAAAAGTCCTTAGTGTTTCAACCACCGTGTCATCACGGCTCCTGGTTTTTGCAGAGAACCAAGAGTATTCTGACTAGCACAAGATTTAAAGGCTCGCCTGAAATGACATCAAAGGATTACACAGAGTATGGATGCTGGGAAGCATTCTCCGTGTGGTCTTTGATGCACTAGGACAAATGACCTTTTCCTTGTGGTCTGTACCAACATCATTGTCAATAAACGGTCTCTCTTCAATAAGTTCACGGATGACAAATAAGCATTATCTTCTTACTGAACACTTTTCCACACTCCCTGTTCCCAGTGAGCCTTTCCCCAGTGAGTTCGCTGATAGGCATTGAGGGATCACTTCACGAAGAACCCTTTTCCACAGTTACTTTTCTCTTTTACACACATAGGGTCTGTCCCCAGTGTGAGCTCGCTGATGGACAACGAGCTTACCCTTTCTGATGAAGCCTTTTCCACAGTCCTGGCACACGTACGGTCTCTCTCCAGTGTGTGTTCGTTGATGGATAGTGAGGTCACTCTTCATGGTGAACCCTTTTCCACACTCCCTGCACACATACGGTTTCTCCCCAGTATGAATTCGTTGGTGGATAGTGAGTTCACTCTTTGAGATGAAGCCTTTCCCACACTCCCCGCACACATAGGGTCTCTCCCCGGTATGAATCCGCTGATGCACAGCGAGGTGACTACTTGTGGTGAACCCTTTTGCACACTCTGGGCAGATATAGGGTCTCTCCCCAGTGTGAGTTCGTTGATGGACAGTTAATTCCCACTTTGTGATGAACCCCTTACCACACTCCCTGCACACATAGGGTCTCTCCCCAGTATGTGTTCGTTGATGGGTTATGAGTACACCCTTACTGGTGAACCCTTTTCCACACTGGCTGCAGACATAGGGCCTCTCCCCAGTATGACTTCGCTGATGGACACTGAGGTGATCCTTTCTGATGAACCCTTTTCCACACTCCCTGCACACAATGGGACTCTCCCCAGTATGAGTTCGCTGGTGGAAAGTGAGTTGATGCCTCGTGATGAAGTCTTTTCCACACTCCCCGCACACATAGGGTCTCTCTCCAGTGTGTGTGTGTTGGTGGCTACTGAGTTCACCCTTCGCGATGAACCCTTTTCCACACTGGCTGCAGACATAGGGTCTCTCCCCAGTATGAGTTCGCTCATGGACAATGAGGTAAGCTTTTGTGATGAACCCTTTTCCACACTCCCTGCACACAATAGGACTCTCCACAGTATGAGTTTGCTGATGGAAAGTGAGTTTATGCCTCCTGAAGAAGCCTTTTCCACACTCCTGGCACACATAGGGTCTCTCTCTAGTATGCGTTCGCTGGTGGATAGTGAGGTAACCTTTCATGATGAAGCCTTTTCCACACTCCCCGCACACATAGGGTTTCTCCCCAGTATGAATTCGCTCATGGACAGTGAGGTAACACTTCGTCCTGAACCTTTTCCCACACCCCGTGCACACAAAGGGTCTCTCCCCTGTGTGAATTCGCTCATGGACAGTGAGGTAACACTTCGTCCTGAAGCCTTTCCCACACTCCGTGCACACAAAGGGTCTCTCCCCTGTGTGAATTCGCTGATGGGCAGTGAGAGCTGATTTCTTGCGAAAGGCTTTGCCACAGTCACTACATACATGGGATTTCTTTAATTTCTGAGTTGCCTGATTTCTGTGAAGTTGGGCCTTAGAGCCTCTTGGTTTCTGGCTTTTAAAAAAAATCATTTCAGTCCAAAACTGGTCACAATCACCGTGGAGCAAGGTCTTCTGTCCACTGAGCTCAGCAGAGTGTTCTACTTGATTGCTAGGTCTCTGCTGGACTATGGGTAAAGTGGTACTGGATTTCCTAGTTTTCTTAGGAAATTTATACCCATCATGGTTTTCTAGGAAATGAAAATTAGTTTTGTGCTGATGGTAAGTATTTTCCAATGAATCCAGGTTACTGTGTTCCGGTCTGTGTAATATTCTTTCATTAGACTTCATTAGACTTTCATTAGACTTCATCAAGAGCCCAAGCAGGTGATCATCAACGTTCTGGACTTCTAGGAAAGAAGAGGATAATGAATGTCCAACATCTGATCTGGAATGAATCTAGTTAAAGAATGAAGAAGCGAGAGATGCAGAATGGGGAATTTCAACGTGTACATTTCGTCACCAAGTCGTAAGAAGCTGGGCTGCAATCCCAAAGGCACTCATTTCAATCTGCCCACTGTTGTAGGAGATTAAGGAATGGACATCGCTTCCTGTGAATTTAACTGGCCCTGAAAACCTGTCATAGAGTCAGGCAGGACTCAGTCCCAATCCAGGATACACAACAAAATCAACAACATCTCGACATGAGTATAAATAAGGTATACTTACGGTCAGATGCAACTGATAAAAACCACACACACAGAAGAAAAAAAAATGACTGTAGGATTAAGACAAAGAGCTATAGAGAATTGCTTGGTGAAGCCAAAAATAGGCATCTTAGGATACCAGTCGCTCCTAGGAAGATGGGCAATATTGTCCGTGCGAATGACAGCCTGAGAAGTCCACTGCAGGACAGCTGATGGCCATGAGCTTAGCTGAGAAGGAAAAAGACTAGATGCTGTGTGGCTCATGCACACAGATTTGATGGTTTCTAACACAGGACTCAACACAGTGAACACCCTTGGAACCAGCAGCCAGGAAATTAAAAGATGTAGCGTGATGGGAAAGTCCGCTGTTAGGGACCTCTCTAAAGTACTGAAGAGCAATGGTGTCTCTCTGGAGACTAAGGGGCGTCTGATAGAGGTTATGGTCTTTGCAATCACTTGTTATGCGTCAGAGAGTTGGACAATGACTAAGGAGGATAGAAGGAGAATTGAGGCCTTTGAGATGTGGTGCTGGAGTAGAGTATTGAATATACCATGGACTGCTAAGAAAACAAACAGATTCATCCTAGAGAGGGTTAAACTGGGCTGCTCCTTGGAGGCAAGGATTCTGAAGCTTCATCTGACATACTTTGGACATGTTGCAAGGAGGAACCAGTCCGTGGAGAGGGACATCATGCTTGGGAGGGTGGAGGGACAGCACAGGAGAGGAAGGCCCTCTATGAGGTGGATTGATTCAGTGACTGGGGTAATGGGGGTAGCTGTGTCCGAGACAGTGAGGTTGGCACAGGACAGAGCAGAGTTTAGGGCTGTTGTTCACAGGGTCGCATGAGTTGCAAGCGACTGGACGGCATGTAACAACAACAGCATAGGATTCATTGCCATGGAGAGGGAGCTGACTCATAGCTGACCCTCAAATGGAATTTCTCATGAGGTGAGTCACATGGGAGGAGACTGTCCACCTTTCTCTGTGGAACAGCAGTTGCATTTGAACTGCTTGCCTTTGGATTTTGAGCGCAGCTCCTTACCCACTAGGCCACAGTGCTCCCTGCAGAGAATGTAAAACACAGGTCAGTTTATAACACACACATCAGAATGTCTGTGGCGTCTCAATATTCACTGATTCCAGACAGATGCATTTACTTCACAAAACCTTAACGAACAACAAATGACAAATACTATTAATTAACTAATAAGCATAAAAAACTTAAAACCTTAGAAGAACAAGTTGAAAACAAATCACAGTATTTTTCTGTTGTTTTTTTTTTGTAAATGCAAATACATTACGAGGCTATTAAGAAAATTACTTAGCAAAGCAAATCATGGAAGGATAAGGTTTCCCTAGACCTTGACTCACAGAGATCACAACCGTGAGAGAAAAGTAGGAGTCAGAAATAGAGAAGATAAAGGGAAGAGATGAAGTAAAGAAACAATGGTTAAATTTAAAAACAAAACAAAACAACAAAAAACCACAAAACCCAATACAATAATGTAGACAAACCAGCAGATACCTTCTCCTTACTAAGACTATATACTTATATCCTAGAAAGAAAAAGGTCTCAAAGAGAGGATGGACACGTAGAAGTATTTAGCTTTACTCCTACACACGATTACAGACGTGATGCCTTCTTTTACTTGAGTGAGAAGTACAGAGCCGCCTCCTCACACTGCTACTTGCTCGCTCACCTGAAAAGCTTTCTCTCTGATGTTCAGGGATGTTAATCTGTGGTTGTTCACCTCCTTCCAACCTGGTCAGTGCATCAGGTTTTTTAGGTTGATACCCTGTTTGTGGGAAAGCAGACAATGTTAGACACACCAAACAATAAAAGTTTTTAAAAGAATATATTAATTGGGGGGCGGGGGGAAATTAATGCAAGAAGAAAAATATCAAAGGTACAAAGAAAAGGGAGCTCTGGTGGCCTAGTGGCAAGGAGCTGCAACTACAATCCCAGAGGCTCACGGTTTGAATCCACCAGATGCTCTGCGGAGAAGGAGGGACAATCTCCTCCTGTACCAGTCAGATATGATTTGACGGTACACTCACACAGAAATAAAAAAAAATTAAAAAAAAAAGATACAAAGAAAAGCGATTTATGGTAACAATTAAAAGATGATATCCATTGATCGAGGGCCAGGAGTAGAGTAAGAACCTTCGACTCCCAAGCACACAAATATTCCACAGATTGCAGCAGCAGAGAGAGAAAGGACTCATGTCAGGATTACTGTCCTCACCGACGGACACCAGGTTTCTGTAGTTCTCCAACATCACGTCCCGGTACAGGGCCTTCTGAGCACAGTCCAGAAGCTCCCATTCTTCCCGCGTGAACTTCACAGCCACGTCACTGAATGTCAGTGCTTCCTGTCAGAATAAAAGGAATCTCTCTGATGACGTATTTTCCATTTCGGTTATGAATGAAATGTGAAGGAGGCTGTTGAGTTCATTCCCTGCATGGAGGCTGTTGCATCACAACACAACACAACTTGCGTTGGTTTTAGACATCTTAGAGAAGAAAGAAGACTTTTACTCAGTATTTTAAATTTGCATGTTCACTAATTCAGCCATCTGTAAAAAGGAATTTTCTTAGGGAGCTCTGGTGGCCTAGTGGCAAGATGCTGCACTGCAATCCCAGAGGTGGTTGTTGTTGTTGTTATGTGCCGTCGAGTCGTTTCCGACTCATAGCGACCCTATGCACAACAGCTCTAAACCCTGCTCTATCCTGCGCCAACCGCACCGCCTCTGACACACCCATCCCGATTACCCCAGTCACCGAATCAATCCATCTCATAGAGGGTCTTCCCCTCCTGCGCTGTCCCTCCACCCTCCCAAGCATGATGTCCCTCTCCAAGGACCCGTCCCTCCTGGCAACATGTCCAAAGTATGTCAGACGAAGCCCCAGAATCCTTGCCTCCAAGGAGCAGCTTGGTTTAATCCTCTCCAAGATGAATCGGTTTGTTTTCCTGGCAGTCCATGGTACATTCAGTACCCTTCTCCAGCACCACAGCTCAAAGGCATCAACTCTCCTTCTGTCCTCCCTAGTCATTGTCCAACTCTCTGATGCATAACAGGTGATTGCAAATACCATGACCTGTATCAGGCGCACCTTAGTCTCCAGAGAGACACTGTTGCTCCTGAGTACCTTTGAGAGGTCCCTAACGGCAGACTTTCCCATCGCGATACGCTTTTTGATTTCCTGACTGCTGGTACCAAGAGTGTTGACTGTGGAGCCAAGCAAAGTGAAGCTGTGAATACTCTCAATCTCTTCGTCATCCATCCTGACACTGCCAATTGGTCCAGTGGCGAGAATCTTTGTCTTCTTGACGTTGAGCCTCAGTCCATACTGAAAGCTGCAGTCCTTGACCCTTCGCAGCAAGTGCATGAGGTCCTCCTCAGTTTCAGCAAGCAAGGTTGTGTCATCTGCATAACGGAGATTGTTAATAGATCTTCCACCAATCCTGATGCCACAATTCTCCTCATAGAGCCCAGCCTCTTGGAGGTACGTGGTTCAAATCCACCAGATGCTCTGCTGGAAAAGGAGGGGCAATCTCTTCCTGTACCAGTCAGATCCGATTTGACGGTACACGTAAAAATAATACAATAAAAAAATTTTTTTTAAAAAAGGAATTTTCTTAAGTGCACAAAAGTAACTATATTTTTGATAAGCTAAAAACTTTTCACATATATATATACAATAATAGTTCTATATGTATACTCCACAAATGTGCATTTCTCTATATTAATAGGGAAATTACCTCCCATTATGCTGAAACGACAATAAGAATAGATGTTAACAGCACTAGCTTTTAGAATATGTCTAATTTCAAGGATACGGGGATCTGTTTCAACCCACCATTTTTTCCCATTTCCAACACAGCTGTCCCTTTCCCAGCACTCTGCTCTGGTCAGTTCACTAATCCATTGTGATGACCACAGAGACTTTCCTGAGGTTTATAAACGGTTTACTAAGGAACAGAGTCGCTCTTGGATGTCATCACCCGCTCTGCCACTGGCCTCTTCTGGGATGAAAGGCATCAACTCCTTCTGAGGCCCTGGCAGCCCTGTTGTCACTGGGTCTGCTGCGGAGCCCCCAGACATCTCCTGGTGTCACCACTTAGAGAAGGTTCCTTGCTTCCCTTCTCTCTCCTTGCTTCTCCTTCGTCTCTCACGTCTCTCCGTTTCACAGACCTCTGTGGAGTTTGATGGGTTATATGCACAAACTTCTCTTCAATTTGAACACTGGAGAGGAACCAACCCACGCCTCCTGCTGGGCCTCGAACATGGAATTTGCAGGACAGGCATTGCTAGGCTACAATTAACCATACACATACAAGGAAGTCCAATGAATACCACGACCTTTCAAATACATGCACCAACAACTAGAGCCAAAGAGGAGGAAACAGAAGACTTCTACCAATGTGTGCAGTCACAAATCGATCAAACATGTAATTAAAGGGGAGCTCTGGTGGCCTAGTGGCAAGAAGCTGCACTGCAATCCCAGAGAAACACGGTTCGAATCCACCAGATGCTCTGCCGGAGAAGGAGGCGCAATATCCTCCTGTACCAGTCAGATCTGATTTGACGGTACACGCACACAAAATAAAAAAAATAAAAAAAATAAAAAAAAAAAAAAACCATGTAATTAAGATCCATTAATAATGATGGGTGACTCAGCATATTTCACTCAGCATCATGTCCTCCAGGGTCACCCATTTTGCATAATATTTCATGAGTTCCTTGTTTTACAATGCTGCATAGTATTCCATTGTGTGAATAGACCACAGCTTCTCTATCCATTCGTGTGTTGATGGGCACTTAGGTTGTTTCTAGCTCTTTGCTATTGCAAACAAAGCTGTAATAAACATGGGTGTACATATATCAGCTTGGGTGGGAGTTCTGGTTTCTTCTGGGTAAATTCACAGGAGTGGAATTGCTGGGTCAAATGGTATTTCTATTTAAACTTTTTGAGAAACTATCATACAGCCTCCCATAGTGGTGGCACTATGTTGTACTCCCACCAACAATAAGGGGTCCAGTTTCAACACAAAATCCAGGGCTTTTTCACAACCAGTACATCACATGGGAAGAGATTTCCTATCCTTCTCCAGCAGAGCAGGTGATGTCCTCAAATCTCTTGCCTTTAGGTACCGTAGGCAGGTTGCTTACCAAGAGGGCATCGGAGCTTCATAACTCTCTCAGGAAAGGACTGCCCGTTTTTCTCTGGAGGTTGTTTGAAACTGTTTTGGTCTTTTGGCTGGAAGCACACTTGCACATTGCTGTGTATTTCTCTCTTCCGTGGGACTCTTTCCATTCTCAAGATAAACTCCAAGTTCTAACACGTCCATCACGGCAGAAGAATGAAGCATCCCTGAAGTTTAGTGACAATAAAAAGGTCTGCTGGCCTTGGACACGTTCCAGGAACACCTGAGACGCTTGAAAACAAGGGACCTTCAGGGGATCTGGGTTGTAAACAGCCTAGATCCAGTTCTAAGAGTTATGCCTTGTCAGCAATCAATCATCTGAGCCTCTGTCCCCTAAAGGGTCAAGTGCACCAGACGAGTTCTTGTTAACAAGATCTCCTGGAACGCAGGGGGGCTACAAACAGGCTCCACACTTCCTCTGGAACGCTTCACACTTCTTTTTTTTTTTTAAATTTTTTAAATTTTATTATTTTTGTGTGCGTGTACCGTCAAATCAGATCTGACTGGTACAGGAGGAGATTGCCCCTCCTTCCCCGGCAGAGCATCCGGTGGATTTGAACCGTGCACCTCTGGGATTGTAGTTGCAGCTTCTTGCCACTAGGCCACCAGAGCTCCCCTCGCTTCACACTTCTAATCAACAGTCTTTGATTAGACTTACTTAGCCATTTGCGTTCTTGCAATAAGATTAAGAGAAAGAACACAGAGCTGGGATAATTTGAGATAATTTAGTTCAATGTTTTCTATTTTTCTTTACTCTTCGAAAAGTGTATGTGACTTTCTTTAAGTATGCCATGCCCGCCCTGTAACAAAGAGGAGAATGAGGAAGTTCCTTCTTTCCATTTTGCCTAATAAAACCCGTGGCCCGTTGTCTTTGATCCTGTCTTTTGAGTCTTGACCTTCTGTGACCCACAATGACAGAATACCCACACCCGTGAACTACAGGAGGTTACCAAAAACAAAGCAGCAAAAGTCACCTGAGCCTTCACCATCCTCTTCTCTCCTTGGGAATATTCCCACACCTTGGATGCTCTGTCTTTGACTTTTCTTGAGAAGTTCTAATTCCTGTTCAGAAATCTCAGACTCCCATGGATGGTGTTCCTGGAAAAGACAAACACAAATCCTGTCATCTCGTTGTTCAAAGAGAAAGGACAACATAAGGATGGCCAAGGCTGACCTCTACAAACTCCACAAAAAGGAAGTGCTCTGACAACAATACCAACACAAACCCAATGCCCGTGAGGTCAGGCATGACGGTCATGCAGCCAGGAATATTTTCTTTTCTTTTTTTATTTTATTAATTTTAATTAAAGTTTACAGAGGCTTAGGGCTTCCAGTAATTCACTGTTGCACTTTAATCCCTGCCCATCCCCGCCTCCAATTCATTCTTCTCCTTGAAAAATAAAAGAAAAACTCTTTCATTGTTATGCAATCCATCCCCCCCAACTCCACTCCACTCTGCAGCCTTCATTCTGGACTCCTGTCATGACAATAATACCCAATCATATATCCCTATTAAACAGTTCTTTCCCTCATTTATTCCAATGCAATATACATCATTCCTCACCTTTTCTGTCTTCCCTCAACCTCAATGTCAGTCCCATTTTACAAGTGTCCTATGCAATATTTGTCCTTTTGTAACTGAGATATTTCACTCAGCATTATGTTCTCCAGGGTCACCCATTTTGCACAATATTTCATCATTTCCTTGTTTTTCAATGCGGTGTAGTATTCCATTGTGTGAATAGACCATAGCTTCTCTATCCATTCGTTTGTTGATGGGCAGTTGCTTTGTTTCCAGCTCTTTGCTATTGTGAACAAAGCCTCAATAAACACGGGGGGTGCTGCCTGGCCCATTTTCTACGAATTCTAACAAGAATGCTATTTTTCTAGTCAGTCATCTGCTGGAATAGCAAACTAGATTTCACAGAAACACACTTATGATGCTGGGGTTTATCAGGGAAGGTAAGAGGGTACAACGTAGACTGGCAACAGAATACACATTCTAAGACAGGACAGCTTCTTTTTTTTTCCCTTTGTAACTGAAGTGTATTTGTTACAACGTTTGTGGTAGCAGGTGCCCTGGCACTGTAAGCTTGGTTACATCTTCAGAACCTGCCCTGACAGCAGCCGCCTAGGAGGTGCCTAGTTTTGCTACTCTGAACCTCTTCTTTGGAAAACAAGCCCTGGATGCGGAGTCTCACAGAGCTGCTTCAGTGTAACACACTGGTTTCTAGACGCCCGGTACACGCAAAGTTGGGCACTACAGAGGGTGGGAGGTTTATCTGGATCCTAGAAGCTCAAACTCAGGCGGTCTTAACAGAGAGTTTCTTCTCAACATCAAAGCATAGCTCAACATTTCAGTGACCAAAAATTATTTACTAAGGAATCCGCTGAATAGCTAACTTCAGACCAGGCGTAGGGTTGGGTTACACACACCTTACAACAGAAATGACCTCCATCTGGTAAATTAGCCAACGTAAAACGAGGGGACAACTAGGACAGCTTCTGATATGTGCCTGTCTAGTTTTATTTTACTTTTACTTTTTTTTTTAAAATTTTTATTATTTTTGTGTGAGTGTACCGTCAAATCAGATCCGACTGGTACAGGAGGAGAGTATCCCTTCTTCCCCGGCAGAGCATCTGGTGGATTTGAACTGTGTGCCTCTGGGATTGTAGTTGCAGTTCCTTGCCTCTAGGCCACCAGAGCTCCCTGCTTGTCTAGTTTTATAAAAGTTCTGTTAGAGCTGCCACTAACACATTTACATTTACACACACACACAGACACAGACACACACACACACACACACACAGAGACACACACGTCAGGCCTCATGTAAGCTTGGGCAAAAGTCTTCAGCTCCGTTTCCACTGCCGTAGCAGCCTCAGCTCACTGCTGCCTCATATCAGGTTTTTGGTTTCAGGTGTGGCTGCTGATACTCTCCTGGAGGTTTGGCTGCTTCAAGAATTTCTAGCTTTTTGTTACTGTTTTCTACATCTCAGGTGGTAGGAAAACACTCTAAATTTCAGCTGCTGAACCTACCCTGGTGGAATGACAAAACCAGCGAGCTCCTTGCTGGAGGGACTAACACATTCTATCTGTATGTTCATGCGCAGCCCGGTGACAAAGTCAAAGGCAACGTCCTACGAAAGCCATTTGCAACCAAGGACTCACTACATCACAGGATGATCTCTATTTGAAGAATTAACTTTCCCCAACAATCACCTTTCAAGTAACCACATTCATGAAAGCATGTAAGCCAACTAGGTCATACCTTTGGCTCTGATCTGCTCTCTCCCCCATTTTACACAGTCAATTTCAGAAATGCTCATCCCTAGAGCCCTGAATGTCCCAGGGACTGACTACCAAAATCGAAACAGCTATGTCAGGGAGAGAGACTAGACAGAGTGCACCTTGAAGGCAAAAATGACAAAGCTCCATCTCTCATACCTGGGAAATGTAGTTTGGAGTCTACTCCTTGGAAAGGAATCTCAACATTAGGAAACATGATCAGCGAAAGAGAGGAAGACCCACAACAAGACAGACTGATGCACCAACTGCAGCAACAGACTATGAAACCTGTTCTGCAAAATGAGCCACAAAAAGCACTAAGTAGGGGAGCTCTGGTGGCCTAGTGGCAAGGAGTTGCAACTACAATCCCAGAGGCACACGGTTCGAATCCACCAGATGCTCTGCCGGGGAAGGAGGGACAATCTCCTCCTGTACCAGTCAGATCTGATTTGACGGTACACGCACACAAAAATAATAAAATAAAATAAAATAAAATTTTTAAAAAAGCACTAAGTAGCAACAGAAAATCATTTCGCTGGAGTCGCTGTTCCAAGTGCTTAAATTGAGTAATCTTCTATAGATGCATGAGAAAAATCATACAAAACATTTCAAAATATTGAAGTCCTCCATACGCGACATGTACAAGGAGTGGGAGTGCACAATTGAGTATTTTCAAAGCAGTGCTATTTGTAGTAGCAAAATGGGATGGGATGGATGGCACTTACAGGGGGTTGCTAATCATATATTTCTAATTCCCAGCAAATTCAGGAGTGCCATCTAGGGAGCAAGATGCACAATTTCGTCTCAAGAGATTTACAGTCTCTGAAAACCGGTGAGAAGAGTCAGCGATGAGATGGTTTTGACTGGATAGAATACACTTAAAAACAACAAAAGATCAGTGCCTTTTCACAACAAAAATCCAATTGTGGAAAGTATCTGAATTTAAAAAAAAAACCAAACAAACCCAAAACACAACTTCACCAAAGAAGACATTCAGATGGCCAACAAGCACATGAAATGTTCAAAATCCCTAGCTTTAAAAGAGATACAAATCAAAACAACTATGAGACATCATCTCACCCCAGTAAGAATAGCAAAATTTAACAGAACAGGAAACAACAAATGCTGGCGAGGATGCAGAGAAAATAGAACCCTTACTCACTGCTGATGGGAGTGTAAAATGGTACAACTGCTATGTAAGGCTTGTATGGTGCTTTCTCAAAAAGCTGAAAACAGAAATACCATTTGACGTAGCAATTCTACTTCTGGGAATTTACCCTAAAGAAACCATAACTGCCACCCAAACAGATAAATGCACACTCATGTTCATCTCGGCTCTGTTCACAATAGCTAGGAGTTGGAAACAACCTAAGTGCCCATATCTCAGTGAAATAGCTCAGTCACAAAAGGACAAATACTGCATGATGCCACTGTTGTAAAACAGGACTGACATAGGTGTTGGGAGGGAGACTAAGGTGGGATAAATAATGTATACTACATTGAAACAGAGGAGGGAGACAACTGTTCAAAACGGATAGATGATTACATATTATTGTTAGAAGAGTCCAGAACGAAAGTAGTATAGTGGAGTGGTCTTGGGGAGAGGGATTGAATAACAATTTTCAAAAAGAAAAGGGAATTGAGGGGGAAGGGTGAGCAGAGAGAAAAGTGCAACAATGAATGAATGGAAATCCAAAGGCTCTGTAAACTTTCATCAAAATAAAAAAAAAAAGACAACACCACCACTATCTGAATTTTGTATAGCCAATGCTACAAAGTATTCAACCCTGTGTAAATACAGAAACTGCCACTGGATGGGATGGGGCAGGGGGAAGAGCTGGCATCAAAATTGGTAAGAACTTTGGAGCGCGGAGATATATGTCAGATTTCAGCTGCACAGGGCTGGATTGCTGATGACTCTCTCTTTCCTGGCGTTACAGGAGGTCATCCAGACACCCCACAGTCATCTGACAACAGCCCCAGGTCCCAGCGCACAGGATTCAGGGGCTTCAGACTTCCCAAAGCTTGGTGATCCTAATTCTCCGGAGAACAGACACTGACCTCCATCACTATGAGATTAAAGCGAAGCTGGACCTGCCGCCCCTCTGCAGTCTATTCCTGAACTCCACCTTCACAGTCACTATTAAACCCTGATCCCAGACGCGGCATTCGGGGGAAAATTTTCCCTCCGAACCCGACGGAGCCGAGGGGTCCGCACACGTGCTGGATCCCCCAGGATTGAAGCCCCACGAGGGAGCCTGGAGGTTTCCATCCAGCTCTTCCAAACCCGGTGGGAACTTCAAACACCCAAAACATTTAAATGTCCCAGTTTAAGAAAGAAAGATATAAACTGACCTGTTTAAGGTGTTTTGGGGTGGTATTTTGGGATAACCCAAAGGGAAGGTGGACATGCATCAAGCATCAGCTTTTTTGCTGCTGGGAAAGGAAGACAAGGGCGCCTTCAGGAGCTTGGGACTTACAAACGGGCGCCTACGGTGCGCGACGAGGGTCTGAAGACCTTACTTCTCAGCGAACGCAAACCCTACTGCATCCGCATTACGTAATAACTGAGCTCATAGGGGAGCCACTTCCGTTTCCGGTAGGGGGAGGTTCATCCGGGTTCTTCTTCTAGAGTCTCCCAAACAGAGCATGTCAACCTGCAATGGCACTTATGGAATTTTTGTGCCTTTTGAACGCGAAACGCAGGTTTAGAAACATTTCCTTTGCAGGGAATGAGGGTGCTTCTCCTCTGGGCTCCAAGCCCCGCCCCCTCTATTGGAACACGTGATTTATATCACTCTGGTGGGTGGAGTCCTAAGAAGCTGAAGTCAGAAGGTTCGAATCCACTAGCTGGTCTTAGGGAGAAAGGTTGCAGTCTCCACTCTTCGTGATTTACTGCTTCTGAAAAACCCACCAGGAAGTCGGCGACGGGTCGGTTCACAGCAAAAACAGTGAAAAAACAGAAAACCAAGGCCAAGGGAACTGCCCACTAGACACTGTCCTCCACTATCACAAAATAGCTTTTCCATGACTCAAGATAAAAGTAAATAATCCAATTGAAAAATGGGCACAAGGATATGAACAGACACTTCACCCAAGAAGACATTCAGATGGCTAACAAGCACATGAAGAAATGTTCAAAATCCGTAAGAGAGATGCAAATCAAAACAACTATGAGATACCATCTCACCCCCAATCAGAATTGCAAAATTTAACAGAACAGCAAGCAACAAATGCTGGTGAGGCTTATTCACTGTTGGTGGGAGTGTAAAATGGTGCAACCACTGTGTAAGGCGATATGGCACTTTCTCAAAAAGTTGCAAATAGAGATACCATTTGACCCAGCAATTACCCTACTGGGAATATACCCCAAAGAGACCATAACTGACATCCAAGCAGATATATGCACACTCATGCTTATAGCAGCTTTGTTCACAATAACAAGGAGTTGAAAACAATCCAAGTGTGCATCAACAAACGAATGAATAGAGAAGCAGTGGTATATTATGGTATACTATATACAATGGAATACTATGCTGCATTGAAAAACAAGGAACTCATGCAATATTATTCAAAATGGGTGACCCTGGAGGACATTATGCTGAGTGAAGTATCTAAGTAGCAAAAGGACAAATATTGCATGGTCCCAGTGTTGTAAAACAGGACTGACTTCGGGGTTCGGGGGAGACTGACAGGGATGGGTTCAATAATGTATACTGCCTTGAAACAGATGAGGGAGAAAACTGTTTGAAAGGGATATGTGATTAGGTATTTTTGTTATGACAGGAGTCCAGAACGAATGCTCTAGGCGAGCTCTGGTGGCCTAGTGGACCTGGGGGGGAGGAGGGATTGTAAAACAAGGAAAGAAGTTTTCCTTTACTTTTCCAAGAGGGTAGTGTACTAGGAGGGAGGGTTGGGAGGGGAGAGAACTGCAGTAATGAATGAATGGAAATCCAAAATCTGTAAATTTTCATTTAAATTAATAGTTTTTAAAAAATGCTCTAGGGAGCTCTGGTGGCCTAGTGGCAAGATGCTGCACTGCAATCCTAGAGGTGTGTGGTTCAAATCCACCAGATGCTCTGCTGGAGAAGGAGGGGGCAATTCCCTCCTGTGCCAGTCAGATCTGATTTGATGGTACATGTAAAAATAATACAATTTTGAAAAAAATTTTAAAAATGCTCTAGGCGAGCTCTGGTGGCCTGGTGGCAAGAAGCTGCACTGCAATCCCAGAGATGTGAGGTTTGAATCCACCAGATGCTCTGCTGAAGGAGAGACAATCTCCTCCTGTACTAGTCAGATCTGATTTGACGGTACACACGTTAAAAAAAATGCTCTATAAAAAAAAGGAAGAAAAAAGGAACGAGTTAATGTTGAAAATGGGCAAGTCAGCTTTGTCTATTTAAAGTTAATTATGTGAAGGAATAAAGGAGGCCATCCTAGTAAAGTGGTACCCCAATTTCTGGTTGAAAAGGCATGAAGCTTGCAGGACATAAAGACTTGTAGAAATGGTACTATGTAAGTATGTCCATCTCTGGGTGAAGAGCTGAGAGACTCAGGCACAGGAGGAAAGCAGTCAGAGTGGACGCAAGAAAAGCTAAGTTCATCAGTGCTGTCTTCCTGGGCCATCTATGTGAGGAAGCTGCACCGGAACCTGGTTCACCTCATGGAAACACAGAAGTCTCCCCTGTTATGAGATATCAGAGTGTGCCTAACGTGTGCGGAATGGAATGCAAGGAGGACCTATAGAGATACAAGTTACTGGAAAACATGTATACGCTAGTTAAAACTTAAAGCAGCAAACAAGGAAAGAGCTTTTTCCTTTGGTAATTTTCCTTTTTCAAATGAAAGCCTGTCTACCCTGTAACCTGTAGGGACAATTCACATGTAAGCTATGTGGGGATCTTGACAAGATCGGAGTGGTTGGCCTGAAACATAATCACCAGGACAGAATGCCCAGAAAACAGAAATACTGTAGAAATGTCTCACTCATTCTTCTGCCCTTACCTTATACAAACTCCCTAAGCCTACAAGACAGGAAGGTAGATTTGGGAAAGTTAGTGTCAAAATAAAGTGTTGCATGGTAAAAAAAAAAAAAAACAACCATAAACAAACCTAGAACAGAATCCACAAAATCCTCTCTCTTAGTTGATGAAAAAGCGTCTCAAGAGTTGTTGGGTTTCCTTTCAGGAACTGTCAGGTATCCTGGTAGTTAAAAAGTTAGAATGAAAAAGGCCCAGCATGTCAGCCAGCTTTGCTCTCAGCAGTATATCACGGAGTTTTGGTGTGGGCTGGGACTCTGTCCACTATGGGCTGTGAGGTGGTCATCACTGGGACTGCAAGCAGTCGGGGTCCTGCAGGAGCTGTGGAGAACAGTGAGGCAAAGCGACCCACAATTTTGTACTGATTCCGACACCACTGTTCCTCTCACAGTTCCCTCTGCTTTACATTTACTAATCATTGACTGAGGAGCAGACAAGATCTTGGTTGTCTATACCCAATCTGCCACTGGCCACTTGTGGGATTAGAGCCATCAAATCCCTTTAGGGCCCCTTCCAGGCCTGTTGCGGAGCACCTCAACATCTTCTGTTGTCACCATTTCAAGGAGGTTCCTTGCCTCCCTTCTACTTCCTTCTGCTTCTTCTCTCACATCTCTCTGCATCACAAACCTCTGTGGAGTTGTTTGCTTACATGGACAAACTTCTCTTCACTTTGAAGACATGGAGATGAACCAACCAAGCTATTCCTGCTGGGCATATCAAATATGAGATTTGCAGGACAGGTGTTGCTAGCCTAGAATTCATTTTCAAACCAAATCTCTCATTGGAAGCTAAGATTTTAAAACTCTGCCTCACTTACTTTGGGCACATGGCCAGGAGAGATCAGTCCTTGGAGAAAGATAGGCTCAGAAGGGTGGACACACAGCGCTGGAGACAGAGACACTGGGTGAGATGGATGAATACGTTGACCAGTGCAAATGGGGTTGGGGTGTCAAAATTAGGACAGGGAAGGGTTCAAAGCTGTACATAGGGTTGCTATACATCACAGGCAACTAAATGGCACATACTATGACAGGTTTGGAAGCAGGAGTGGCATCCACTTGCTAAATAACATGTGTCCAGAAACACCATGAACTTTAATAAATGTCGATAGTTATAGAAAGGCTCCAGGTCTTTTGTTCATAAGATCGCTCTGAGTCGTGCTTATTTAAAGGCAATCAACAACAACAGTAAACTATGTCTGCACCATGCATAAGAATCACAGGGCAGGTCACAGATGCAGCCCATTAAAAAATAAAAAATTCTCTCCTACTGTCCTATAAAATTTCCTCTTAACTCAGTAGAAAATTAGAAACATGCTCCGGTTGAAGAGTAGGACAAGAGTAACGCTTCAGTATTTATAAGAAAAAGCTCTCAAGTTTCTTTCCCAAACAACCCAACGGAATAGGAGAGAGTCAAGGGAGAACTGGAGGGTGTTAGGATTGGAAACAAAGTTAGAGCCAGAAGATTTTTCCTATCTCCACTTCATAGGGTCATCAGCTTTGAGCTGAGGCTGATGGTGATTCTTTCTCCCATGTGAAATGAGAAGGGAACAAATACCTACTCAAATTGGTGACAACTGAAGAAGACGGACATTAGTTTTACAACAAAGAAGCGTTGATAATCCCTGTTGTTCTTCTCGTGTGCTGTTCAGTCACAACCAACACAATCCAGCGGTTTTTCTGAGGCAGTTCATTGCACAGGAAGAGAACATTCATCTTTGGCAGAGCAGCTGAAGAATTCAAACCCGTTCCCTTCTAGGATTGCACACCAGCTTCTTAGCGCTGGGCCACCAGAGCTTGTTCAAGGCCTTGGGTGAAGATTGTGCACCTTTCTTTGGAGAAAGCACTAGATGATTTGAAATGCTTGCCTTTTGGATGAAAGCACAAAACTGGACCATTCAAGTTTATTTATCTTTTATTTTCTTGGACAATTACTATCCACAACACAACAAACCCAATTCCCAGGAGGTCACACATCGCTACCATGCTATCTGATCTATTTTCTACAAATTCCAACTACAATGCTACTGTTCCACTGTGGCAGAAATCTTTTATAACAGATACCTCGACCTCTCAGAAATATAATCATGATTCAGGGGTTTATTAGTGAAGTTAAAAGGGTATAACTTAAACTGGCAACAGGATACACTTTCTCAGCCAGGACAGTTACTGATGTATGCTAGCAGACCATTCAACTTACTGGTTTCAGGACACTGTTATAAAGCTCTTAGTCCTGAATAACTAAGGCATTTACACACAAGTGTGCACAGGCCTGGTTTCCGTTGGGCGAGCAGTCCCAGTTCTTACACCATGTTTCCAGTTCTCACCTATGGCTGCTGGGGGGTCTCCTGTAGTTCTTGGTGGTGCACGAACTCTGGCTAATAGTATATCCACTCATTCTTTTTCTTCTTTGTAGGGAAATTTCCTATATTTCTGGCACTATACCTACTCAATGTAAAGCCACTGGAATGACAAAACAAACCCCTTGCTGGATAGACTAACACATTCTTGTTGACTGTTCCTGCCCAACCATGTGGCAGGGTCAATGGCTATGTCCTAGGAAAGCTGTTTGCAACAATATAGCCCGTCACCTGCAGGCCACTCCTTGGCTTTTAAAGCCTGTGTCCTTCCTACTTAAGGACAAGATTAATTCTCACGATATACTTTTCCCAATCTTGCTGCTAACTACATTCATGAAAGTGTGTAAGGCAACTTTATCATACTTTCTGCATTTATCCTCAGCCCCGCTAGACAGTGAATTTCTTTAATGATCATCCCTCAAGTATTAAATATGCCATGGATGATCAAAAGAACTGGAGGATGTATCGTGGGAAATGGCCATTCAGAGGGCTACTTGGAAGCAAAGACAAGGAAGCTCCATCTATGATACTTGGGACTTGTTGGTAAGAGAGTCTATTTCTTGGGAAGGGGCCGCATGCTTTGGAAGGATGAAAGTAAAGAGGAAGGTTCGCAACAAGATGGAATGAATGACAATGACTGGAGTAGCAGGCTATGAAAACTGTCTGTTCCTTTTAAACAAGCCACATGAAGCACTGAGTATAAACTGAAAATTGTTCTGTTGGAGTCACTAGAAAATACTTACATGCAGGGGGGGAAATCACACAGAACTTTGAAGAAATACTTGCTTTAGCGTACATGCACAGTGAATGCACGTCTGAAAGATAATGTTTTCAAAGCAGAACTACTTGCAATAGCCCAAGGTGATATGATGGATGGTTTTATAGGGGATTTCCAGATCTAATTTTGCAAAGCAGATCAAATTCACTAGCTGAACCAGGACAGCAAGGTGCACAGTCCCCTCTCATGAAATTTATATCCTCTGAAAACCTGTTCGAGAGTCAGCTAAGAGGTGGTCCTGCCTGGATACAACACACAACTGCCAAGTTAGGCTTGACTGAGAATAATTTGTTTTTTCTTTTTTTCTTTTTTTTTAGAAGCTCAACTATGTCATTTATTGTTCTTAAGTCCTGGAGCAAATCCCATCTACAACTGGGTTGTTTTATAACTCGGAAGTCCACATGCAAGGCAGAGGTGAAGTAAGGAACTGCTTATGAGGTTTTCCGTCAATTCCAACAACTAAGAAATAAGTGAGAAGAGTTGGGACCTCAGAAGGCTTTTAGGACCAAATAGTAGGCCCTTGTGTCCAGGAGAAAACGACTATACTTACCAGCAATTCTGACACATGGATTAGTTTCAGTTGGGCCAGTGGACATCGGCTAGAGAAGTGCCATACAAATGCCAAATACAAATACCAACAGCCAAACCAAGTGTTTGTCTATACAATAATCAGTAACTCAAACTCACTCCCAGATGTAATTACATTATTAAGAATATATTAGTCTGAGTGATATCGCAGTAATAAGTATCTAAATCACTATCAGTTATAATTACTTCATTGAGAGATTTTCTCAAGAGCTCAGAGACCATCACAGATCCATTAAACTTTAAAGAGAGGACCTTACAACCACCCACAGACATCTGCTTTCCAGCACCTGTCATCAGATAACTTCTCTATGATCTCATTCTTCTTGGTTTCCTAACTCTTTCTCATTCTTATTTTTTAATTTCAAGGAATGAAGATCAAGGGAGCTCTGGTGGCCTAGTGGTAAGAAGCTGCACTACAATCCAAGAGGCAGGTCGAATCCAACAGATGCTCTGCTAGAGAAGGAGGGACAATCTCGTAATGTACCAGTCAGATCTGATTTGACAGTACACACACAAAAAAATAATAAATTTTTTTAAGAAAAAGAAATGAAGTTCAGCCTTAATTTTATTATTAACATAAAACATTGTAGCAATACCATAACACTTATTGCAAATCAAATCACTCCGATAACAAGAACAAAATGATTTATAAAATATTTCATATCAGTGAAAGGACTCAAACTATTATATTTATGTACCAAAATTTGCTACTCCACTAGGACCAATACCAAGAGTATGACTTGTATTAAGAGCTTCTATATTTTGAAACATTTTGATTTTCAATGTTATATCTGAATTTTCCCATGTACCTAATAATTTACTTTGGGTCTTATCCAAGGCAGAATTATTTTTAATATTAACAAGAAAATTTCTTACATATACATAATTAAATCAATAATGACATTGTAACATTTGATGTGTTTGCATAAGAGCTAAGGCTCTCTCAGAGTGACTACTGATTCTGCCAGTAAGTCTAATTTTAATCGTAAATCATGATCAATACTCTTAGAGTTGCCAATGCTTAAGTATTGTTTCTGGTGACTTCACTAACAAGTGGAGCAGTTTTAATGGAATATTGCAAAGCCATTGCAGTAACAGTCATAGTAAACAGGGAAAACAAGATAGTGATTCCAGTCATAATTAAACCTATGAATCTCTTTGATCGTTGAAGTCCTTGATTAATCAGATACAAAAAAATATTCTCCTGCTGATGGAAACCAAGTATTATTAAGATTATCTGGTGGCAAAGTATACACAGGCTGTTCAGTTATGATAACATATTCTCAAGTGGATGAAATTCACTGGGTCGTAAAAGGCAGTCTTTACAAATTATGTTCCAAACCATTCCACTCAGTTCATTAACTACCAAAGGGACACTCATACATGAAGAATTTTTCTGATCAGAATTTGCAAAATACTGTGCAATTCACAGGGTACAGGTATCAGACACATGATAATACATATGAAAGATTACTTAGGAAAGCTCTTTCAGCATTTCCCAAGAACTGATTATGGTTAATAAACTGACTGGCAGCAACCCACCTCCATAAATGACTCTCATTATTACCATCAGGACATTGAAATACATTTTCAATAAATCCATTATAAGCAGAATATCCTAACATGCATTCTGAATATCCTCAGGATAGCAAATAGCCTGGGGTTTGTGGTTCTGTAAGTACAATTTTCTTGGGGCTAGAAAAATACCATTTTGTCCATCAGGGAGTAACAGTCCAAGGTGAAGCAGAATTTCTGCCATAAATAAAGGTGTTGAAGGGATTGTTTCATTACTATTAAAAATGCCCTTTGTACTATATTATTACCTAATACAGTTGAGTTGTTATTTCCCCCAAAGGTCCATTTTGTCCATGGTATTCTCTGTGTGGTCTTTAATGCTGTAGGAGGAATGATTTTGCAGTCTGTACCAAAGTCACTGGCAATATAGGTTCTCTTTTGAAAGATTTTGTTGATGACAATTAAGTTTTGTCTTCTTACTGAAACCTTTCCCACTCTCCCTGCACACACAGGGCCTCTCCCCAGTGAGTTAGTTCTTGGACAGGGAGGAGACTCTGTCTGATGAACCCTTTACCACAGTCACTACACACATGGGGTGCCCCTACTATGAGCTCGTTGATGGTATGTGAGGTTACCTCTCCTTGTGAAGCCTTTTCCACACTCCTGGCATATATAAGGTCTGTCCCCAGTGTGAGCTCTCTGATGGGCAGTGAGGTGACCCTTCATGATGAACCCTTTCCCACACTCCTTGCAGACATAGGGGTTCTCTCCAGTATGTGTTCGTTGGTGGACAGTGAGGTTACCCTTCATGATGAAGCCCTTTCCACACTCCATGCACACATAGGGTCTCTCTCCAGTGTGAGTTCGCTGATGGACCGTGAGGTAACTCTTTATGATGAAGCCTTTTCCACACTCCCTGCACTCATAGGGTCTCTCCCCGTTATGGATTCGCTGATGGACAGTGAGGTAATCCTTGGTGGTGAACCCTTTTCCACACACCTTACACATATAGGGTTTCTCTCCAGTGTGAGTTCGCTTGTGGACAGTGAGGTGACTCCTGCTGGAGAAACCTTTCCCACACTCCCGGCAAATGTAGGGTTTCTCTCCAGTGTGAGTTCGCTTGTGGACAGTGAGGTGACTCCTGCTGGAGAAACCTTTCCCACACTCCCGGCAAATGTAGGGTTTCTCTCCAGTGTGAGTTCGCTGGTGGACTGTGAGTACACCCTTTTTGATGAAGCTTTTCCCACACTCCTTACACACATAGGGTCTCTCCCCATTATGAATTCGCTGATGCACAGTGAGGTATCCCTCCGTGAGGAACCTTTTTCCACACTCCTTGCACACACTGGGACTCTCCCCAGTATGAGTTTGCTGATGGAAAGTGAGGCGAATCCTCCTGGTGAAGCCTTTCCCACACTCTTTGCACACATAGGGCCTCTCCCCAGTGTGTGTGCGTTGATGGATAGTGAGCTGACCCTTTGTGATGAATCCTTTTCCACACTCCTTGCACACATGTGGTCTCTCTCCAGTGTGAGTTCGCTCATGGACCGTGAGTTCACCCTTTGTGACGAACCCTTTTCCACACTCCTTGCACACGTAGGGTCTCTCCCCATTATGGATTCGCTGATGGACAGTGAGGTAATCCTTTGCGATGAACCCTTTTCCACACTCCTTGCACACATGGGGACTCCTCCCAGTGTGAGTTCGCTGATGGACAGTGAGCCGACTCCTCCAGGTAAAGCCTTTTCCACACTCCCGACACTTATAGGGCCTCTCTCTAGTGTGTGTTCGTTGATGGACTGTGAGCACACCCTTTGTGATGAAGCCTTTTCCACATTGCTTGCACACATGGGGTCTCTCTCTAGTGTGAGTTTGCTGATGCATAGTGAGGTAACACTTCCTGATGAACCCTTTTCCACACTCCCTACACACATTGGAACTCTTCCCAGTATGAGTTCGCTGATGGGCAGTGAGATTGCTCCTCCTGGTGAAGCCTTTTCCACACTCCCTACACACATTGGAACTCTTCCCAGTATGAGTTCGCTGATGGGCAGTGAGATTGCTCCTCCTGGTGAAGCCTTTTCCACACTCCCTGCAAACATACGGTCTCTCTCCAGTGTGAGTTCGCTGATGGTCAATGAGGGGACTCTGCGTCATGAACCCTTTGCCACAGTCGCTGCACACATAGGGCCACTCCCCGGTATGACTTCGCTGATGGACAGAGAGGTAGGCCTTCGTGATGAACCCCTTTCCACACTCCTTGCAGACATACAGATTTCTCTTCCTAGTATGAGTTTGTTGGTGGGCAGTGAGGTAACCCTGCCTAGCGAACCCTTTCCCACACTCCCTGCACACGTAGGGTCTCTCCCCAGTGTGACTTCGTTGATGGATAGTGAGATCTGACTTCTTGGGGAAGGCTTTGCCACAGTCACGACATACATGGGATTTCTTTATTTTGCGAGTTGTCTGATTGCTGTGAAGTTTGGCCTTAGAGCCTTTCCGTTTCTGACTTTTTAGGAAATTCTTTTCAGTCCAAAACAGGTCACATTCACCGTGGAGCAAGGTGTTCTGTCTACTGAGCTCAGCAGAGTGCTTTACTTGATTGCTAGGTCTCTGGTGGACTACGGGTAAAGGGGTACTGGATTTCTTAGTTTTCCTAGGCAATTTATACCTATCATGGTTTTCCATGAAATGAAAATGAGTTTTGTGCTGATGGTAACTATTTTCCAATGAATTCAGGTCACTGTGTTCTGGTGTGTGTAATATTCTTTCATTAGACAAGACCCCAAGCAGGTGATCATCAACGTTCTGGACTTCTAGGAAAGAAGAGAATAATGAATTTCCAACACCTGATTTGGAATGAATCTCGTAAAAGAATGAAGTGACAGATACATAATTTTGAATTTCAACGAGCAAATTTCATGGCCACATAGTAAGAAGCTGGACTGCAATCCCAAAGGCACCCGTTTCAATCCGCAGGCTGTTCTAGGAGATTAAGGAAGAGGCGTTCCCCTCCTATGAATTTAACTAACACTGAAAACTCGCCGAAGGCCAGGCATGACTCCATCCCAATCCAGGGCACACGACAAAACCAACATTTGGACATGCGTGTAAATAAAATATCACCCTTGTTGTTACATTCATACTCATAAAGACAACAGAAAAAGCAAGAATATAAAGAAATGACTGTAGGATGAAGGCAATGACCTGTAGAGAATTGCTTGGTTAAGTGAAAAGCAGGTGAAGGTCCCAGCTGCTCCCAGGGAGATAGGCATTTACAGCCCATGATTTACAGCCTCAGAAACCCACTGAAGGAGAGCCGATGGCCGTGAGCTTAGCTGAGGAGGAATAACATTAGATGCTCTACGGCTCATGCACACAGATTTGATGGGTTCTAACAGAGGACTCAACTGCAGTGGGGTTGTAAATGACTCACAGCTGACCCCCTCAAGGGATTTCACAGGAGGTGAGTCACATGGGAGGAGACTGTCCCTCTTTGTCTGTGAACATCAGTTGTGTTTGAACTGCTGGCCTTTGCATTTTGAGTACAACTCCTTACCCACTAGGCTACCAGTGCTCCCTGGAGAGAATGTAAAACAGGTCAGTTTATGACACACACACATCAGAGGCTCTAGATGTCTCAATAGTCACTGGTTCAGGACAGATGAATGTACTTCACAAAATCTTAATGAATGACAATATCAAGTACAATAATTACTTAGCATAAAAATATTTAAAGCCTTAGAAAAACAAGTTGAAAACAAATCACAACAGTTTTTTTTTTTTAAATACGTACAGATAAAATTTATTAGGAAAAATACTTAGCAGAGGAAATCATGGGGGGAAAAGGCACCCCTATGCCCTGACTCACTGGGATCAGAACCCTTAGGGAACCTCAGAGTCAGAAATAGAGAAGCTACGGAAGGAAATGACAGCATAGGGACAGACTACCTTGCAACAGGGATAAAATATCCAGTAAGGTTCGCAATGTCCACCCAGAACTCACTGCACTGAAGGTGTTTCTGACTTATGGGAACCTCTTTAGTTTTCTGAAGGTGTAAGGCTTTATGGACAGCCTCTCGTTCTTCTGTGGAGCACATGGAGGGTTTGAACTGCTGATTTGGGG